TGTGATGTTACTAGCAAAATATTGCTATAAAGAGCGTTGCACCAGATGCGCCTTGACAGTTGGAAGTTTCACACATCAGACGTGCAAATTCGAATGTTATTTAATATGAAACTATTCATATGGCGCTCTGTGGCGTGGCCGAAATATGAACTGTCCTGAGTCGTACATGGGCGCCGTGGACAGTAATCGACTTGCGGTGCCGGTGTGCGGTCCCTGATAGAAATCTATGTTTAGAATTCTTATAAATGCGACCCCCTTAAAGTGATGTTAGTGAAGTAGCAACGGTTGCTGCTGTTCTGACCGTCGGCTGCAGACCTGAATAAACTGCAGAAGAAAGTAGTTTGAGACTCTCTGTGTTTGATTTCTTTTTTTTATACACATGATGCTGTCAAACTGTTGTATAAACACAATATCACGCTCGTAGCAGTGCCATGTGACTATATCGGTGCCATTATACAGCCATATCACTGTTACCCATATTTATTACCCATATTTATTTTAAAAATTAAGAACAAGCTGGTGTGACAAACATCTGAACAAAATCAGGCCAAAAATAAATAGATTTAGATTTTTTCAGGAGTTTCAAACAGCTCTTTACTAGACAAGCTTCTTTGGTTCATTTCCTGTGACCAATTATTAACTTTTTTAGTTTGTCCACCAAAAAATGTTTCCACGATATGTAATGTACATGTGTTTCTGCCAAAATAAATGTATATATAAATATTTCCACCCCCCCCCATCATATACATTTTTTAAACGTTTGTTTTTTCCTTTACCAAAATGAAAAAAGTATGTTTTCATGATTGATCAAGTTAGCAAAGACTCTCATATACAAGCAAAATGCCGATTTTTACCAAGATTTGTCAAAATTGAAAGCAAATTCAATGGAGTGAGTGTGAAATGAGAATCGAATTATTAAATCTGTATGTATATCTAGCCCTTTTTTTTTTTACTCACCATGTGTTGATACAAGTCGTCTACAAAATGGCATTAAATGTGAACACATGACAGTTTTCATAATTAAATGAACAATCGCTTTAATGGTTTGTTTCTGTGCGCTTCTGTTGTGCGAGAATTCGCTGTATTTTTGTGTTCGGTCTTATTAACTTGATTGCAATTACTGCTAAATCAAGCCGTAACAATTCTGAAATCGTGAATTTGAAATAAGCCGCTGCTAGGAAGGAATATTCAGTGTTGGTTGGTGGTTATTTTTAGTATCCTTTATCAGTGTGTATATTTTTGTACTGAACATCCTGCATGATAAATGAAGTTGTATACAGTATATAAGTTGGTGTGTTAGCAATATTCAAAGTGTTTGCTTTCTCAGCAGTGTTACAGCAACGCAAACACTCTGCGCTTGCTTAAAGATATTTCACAATAACGTCAGTGTGGCTAAATGAAAGCAGTATTGACAAATAAATCATACTCTAAGCAAACCAGTTTCATTTTGTTCATTTAATAAATCTTTCCATCCATCTGTGCATCTATTGTTGCCAAACTTACAGTAAGGCACAATCTTTACCCAGCTATGTACAATGTACTCTACTGTACAGTAAATTACAGTACAATAACTGACATCCACATTTTCTGGAAAACCTTTAGTCTCTCGTTTCAGTTTGACCATGAGGATCATCCTCAAAACACAAACATAAATGTGAAATACTGCAATACATTCAAATCTAAGCCTCCATATCAGCAATCAACTGTTTAGCGCTAATTATGATAATGAATAGCTTCATGGTTAAAAGGAGAAAATAAAATGTAAACAGATTAACTTCAGTTGTAGCCAGATGTGGGATTAAAACTCTGTAATATGCATATTTAATAAACAACTGATTAGCAGCATGGACTGAATAGTCAATAGGGGCTATATGGAAGAACTTTAATGTATTAATCCCCTAAATTAAAATTTAATCACTGTTTTCTCGTTAGGGGTGGTCAATGAAAGCCTGTGGATTGATTTTAAGTAAAGAATTATTAACACTTTCCCCACCAACATTTTGTTTTTTTAAAGTTGCCAGACACGATCAGCATTTTTGATATTTTCACCTAAATCTGACGGCCCTTGTAATATTTTCTGCTAGGTATATATGAGTATATTAAAAATCTAAATAAAGAACCAATCCTCTGCTTCCAAACGGAAAAAAAATGAAATGCAGGTAGATTTAATCAAAAAAACTGCAACACACACAAAAAAATTCTACACACAATACCCCATAATGACAATGTAAAAAATGAGTTTTTGAAATTGTTGCAAATTTATTAAAAATAAAAAGCCTGAAAAATCACATGTACATCAGTATTCACAGCCTTTGCCGCAAAGCTCTAAATTGAGCTCAGGTACATTCTGTTTCCACTGATCATTCTTGAGATGTTTCAGCAGCTTCACCTGTGGTAAATTCAGTTGATTGGACATGATTTGAAAAGGCAAACACCTGTCTATATAAGGTCCCAAGGTTGACAGTGCATGTCAAAGCACAAATCAAGCATGAAGACAAAGGAATTGTCTGTAGACCTCTGAGACAGGATTGATTGAGGCACAAGGCTGAGGAAGCTTACAGAAACAGTTCTGCTGCTCTGAAAGTTCCAATGAGCACAGTGGCCTTCACCATTCGTAAGTGGAAGATGTTTGGAACCACCAGGACTCTTCCTTGAGCTAGCCGGTCATCTAAGTTGAGTGATCGGGGGAGAAGAGCCTTAGTCAGGGAGGTGATCAATAACCTGATGGTCCTTACAGAAGGACAACCATCAGTGCAGCAACCCACCAATCAGGCCTGTATGGTAGAGTGGCCAGACGGAAGACAATTCCTGCATGGAATTTGCCGAAAGGCATCTAAAGGACTCTCAGACCATAAGAAACAAAATTCTCTGGTCTGATGGGACTACAATTGAACTCTTTGGAGTGAATGCCAGGCGTTACATTTGGAGAAAACCAGGCAACGTTCATCACCAGGCTAATACAATCCCTACAGTGAAGCATGGTGGTGGCAGCATCATGCTGTGGGTATGTTTTTCAGCAGCAGGAACTGGAAGACTAGTCAGGATAGAGGGAAAGATGAATGCAGCAATGTACAGAGACATCCTGAATCAAAACCTGCTTCAGAGTGCTCCTGAGCTCAGACTGGGGAGACGATTCATTTTCCAGTTGGACAATGACCCAAAGCACAACGCCAAAATATCAATGGAGTGGCTTCACAACAACTCAGTGAATGTGCTTGAGTGGCCCAGCCAGAGCCCAGATCTAAATCCTATTGAGCATCTCTGGAAAGATCTGAAAATGGCTGTACATCGTCGCTTCCCATCCAACCTGATAGAGCTTGAGAGGTACTGCTAAGAGGATTATGCAAAAATTCCCAAAGACAGGTGTGCCAAGCTTCTGGCATAATATTCAACAAGACTTGAGGCTGTAATTGCTGCCAAAGGGACATCAACACAATATTGAGCAAAGGCTGTGAATACTGATGTACATGTGATTTTTTTATTTTTAATAAATTTACAGCAATTTCAAAAACAGTTTTTTTTTTACATTGTCATTATGGGGTATTGTGTGTAGAATTTTAAGGAAATAAATTAATTTAATTCATTTTGGAATAAGGCTCTAACATAAATGAATATGAATACTTTCTGGATGCACTGTATATAATACACATACGCATACACAAACAGAAGACCTAGAAGTCCTTTACCTCACGCAGTACATGGTTAGGGCTTCCCCTACCGTAATATACCTAAAACCCAGAATACCATAAAAACTGGTCAACGGCGAGGAAAAAGTTACATTTCATATGAAAATATCATCAAGCAATGGATAAAGCCTCTGTTGTGAATATGTACTAAAATAGCATTAAGCGAACAGTTTTTTTTTTTTTGTATAATAAAACAAACCAAATACAATATGTTTGAGCAATTATGAACGAATATACATGAAGATTCAGTTTGCAAAGCATTAATAAAATGAATAAAAACAGAAAAAAACGAAAGCACTCCATTGCATATTGTAAGTTATTAGCTGCAGTTGACCGAACGTTAATAAACGGAATAAATACACTACATAACAGAAACATAACAGAAACGGTAAACTAAACAAAACTTGACATGTTTTACATTAGAAATAAATCAGTCGAACTACAATCCCGTTGAACTTTGTGTTAGATTTACAAAATATTAAATATCATCACCCATCTATGTTGTACTTTAAAGCTGTCATGTGCACTGATAATCACATAAAACATGTCCGACTGCACATTGCACATAAGTTATTACTTAAAGTTCACAGAACGAACACCGGTGATGCTAATGCACCTTTCTGAGTTCAACATATAGCCCCTTTACTGTAAGTCATTTTCAAATAAATAAATAAATAAGTTGTCTGTTTACATGACACCATTTGCAAGTAAAAATGAAGAACTCTATGCGTTGTGAAAATAATACTGGTATAATCATCTGAAAAACTACAAAAACATCTTTTGAAAACGATGACATGTGATTTTTTTTTAAAATGATGACGTCTGATAATTAAAAAAAAAAAAATTCTGTCTGATTTTTTGAAAATTATGTCTTTTTTTTATTGACATCTGATTTTTATTTTTTAAATTGACGTCTGATTTTTTTTAAACGATGACGCCTGATTTTTTTTGAAAATTAAGACGTCTGCTTTTTTAAAAACGATGACGTCTGAATTTTTTTGAAAATGATGACGTCTGCTTTTTTGAAAACCATGACGTCAGATTTTTTTTTAAAACGATGTCTGATTTTTTTTTTTACGATTTTTTATTTAAAAAAAAAAAAAAAAAAATTGATGTTTGTGTATTGTATTACATGTTTATTTCATTGCAAAAAAAAAAACTATGACAAACAGAACAATAATTGCAGTGCCATAAGTGTGTGTGTGTGGTGTTTCAGTATAAAGCAACATTGTCACCTACTGGTCTGGCCTGCATTTTTTTAGATATGTTCATGTATTCATGATAATAGGATAATTTTTACATCATTGTCGTTCATAAGTGAAGCTTTTTTTTAATTCAGAGGAAACATTTCCTATTTTTAAGTGCTATGTTGTCATGAAAACATAGAATAAATACACTACAATGCATTAAAAAAACAGAAACGGTTAACTAAATAAAAAGTGACGTGATTTACATTCGAAATAAATCAGTCGCACTACAATCCCGTTGAACTTTGTGGTAGATTTACAAAATATTAAACATCATCCCCATCTATGTTGTACTTTAAAGCTGTCATTTGCACTAATAATCGCATAAAACATGATTTTCAGTTCGTCTGCTGAAGGTTTTATGTTCGCAGTAAGAAGGAAGCAATGTGTGTGTGTGTGTATGTGTGTGTGAGTGTGTTTGGTATAGTCACCCTCATGTATTCGCTTGGCCTCAAACATGTGGCCCTGCAGACGCTTGAAATCGTGGTAGATGCAGTCCAAATTTACTCTCGATGCCAGCAAACGTGGCCACGGCCAACCTGAAGCCACCGATGTGGTCAGGATTGGGCGCCGGGAGGCTGATGCGAGACTTGGGAGTAGGCTCTGCGCCAGCCGGCTTTCTGTGGTGAGGAGAAGGAAAGAAAGAAAGATGGATGAGGAGGAGGAGCAGAAAGAGGCTTCACGTTCTGTCAGAGAGAATAAACAGCCTGCCTGAATTGTGAAAACAAGAATATTTTCCCCTCAAGTTATGGAACACAAAATAAATGATTAGACCAGAACTGCTCTCTGGCTTCCCTTTTTTTTAAAAAATCCTTTCCATTTAGGACACAAATCCTATTTTAGGACGTAGTCTTGACATTTTAGACTGAATGAAATCATAATCATGGAGCTCAAATGTGTTTGAAGTACCACGACTAGACAAGAATAGGAAAAGCTACTTTTAAATGTGAGTCTCGGTGTCAGTGTGCTTATGTAGAGTCATGATAAAGGAAAAAGCATGTAAATAATGTTGCAGAATGACTCATGTAAATACATATTCTCATTGTATATTTCATGCGTTATGCTTACCGTTGCTCTATTTTAGTATAGATTCTATAATTGTGGGCTCTGATTAGTCATTTGAGGCATCCTTAGGTTAAATGGTTTCTTGGAATTGTATATTTGATTACCACAAACTTAAATGAGCAAACTTAGACAAACTTAGATAAGAAGAGAAACATGTTTTCCATCGTGAACTGAACAAATGTCAATTCCAGCACATCTCAATATACAGCTTATTTCAAAATGAAAGAAATTCTGGCAGTCAAACATTGTCTAAGATCATTTTTGTATCTGGTTTAACCAATCTTACCACAATATGTATAATAAATATACATTTGTCGATGAAATAAATTAGTTGTTTGCTGAATTGTACACCTGTCACACTCTAAAATGTCATATTAATTTGGCTAAGAGCTTGTTAGAAACAAACAAACTGAATTTGTATATTAAACATTAAGCATGAACTTTTACATTGTGAATACACTTTTTAATGTGTGATTAAAACTTTTGAAATATTTGTATAAATGTGTGTGGTGATGGAAATGACAGTGGTGGAAATGACATTTCAACAGTTTATTGTGAAAAAATGAAAAATAGCTTCACCGATTAGCTTTGAATTGATGCTAGCCTTTCATGTATACAAAACCCTCTTATCTACCTTCATTTTGTTTGGTTTTTAAAATCATCTTTGAAGGTCCAGCATGTTTGGGAATGACGTAGAATAAATGTAATTCTCCTATCAATCAATATTTACCTTGAATTTTCTTCAAGAGTTGTTGATAAAAATTGAAATTTATTTGAATTCCTGAAGATGTTCTCAGATGTCACTATTCATTTTCATAGAAACCACTAAAATAATCCTTCACACAAACTTTTTAAAGCAACATTACAGTGTTGTGGTGGAAATGACACTGATACTGTGCGACAGCTATATTTTGTTTAAAAAATAATATTGATAATAGTCTCACAATAATAACTATAAAATATTTAAATTATTTTACTAGTGCTTAAGATACAGTAATAGATACCAGATGAATAATATTTTAAAATGTTATTTTCATTGTTGAAGTTTGTTACAAGTAGCTAAAACTTGCTCATTCAGAGGCGGGAATCGGCGGACGTGCAACAACTTTATTTATGAGGTAAACATAAAACAAAAGTTTTCATCTGGAGCTCCTTCATGGGACTCAACACTTATAAACACTCACTTCATCGGGCTCCGATGGAGCTTGTGCTACACATCATTGTGACTATAGTTAAACTTTTTGAGAGGTGCGTGTCAGCCATGGCTATGCAAACGCACAAAAGCTGTGCCTCAGCATACGAGTGCGTTTTGACAAAAAATTGTAAATCAGCCTTAAGTCGAAGGTAAATGAATGAATGTATATAAGATTTTAAAAATATATATTTTTATTATAATATATATATATATATATATATATATATATATATATATATATATATATATATATATATATATATATATATATATATACATATATATATATATATATATATATATATATATATATATATATATATATATATATATATATATATATATATATATATATATATATATATATATATATATATATATATATATATATATATATATATATATATATATATATATATATATATATATATATATACACACATACACAAATGTTTGTGCTTTTATACCTGTTTGTATATTGATTGATGTGGTCCAGAAGTTAATGTGTGTTGTTATATTAAGATAAACAGCCTGTCTTCTTTGTTAAAATAAGAGTATTTTCCTGTCAAATTTTTAAACGCAAAATAAAGAAACACAGTGGTTTCTTGCTTTTTTTTCTCTCCCGAAAACTTTCCCTCCAGGATATAGACTGTATTTTCAGATGATGTTTGAAGATGTGAATGAAATAAAATCATGCAGTCTTGTAGATCAAATGGGAAACTTTTATTTGAGTTGAAATAAAATGTGCAAATGTGGATGCACAGATGTTGAAATGCGAGCTCATACTGATCATTTTATGACTATGATCCGGTGGTCAGTATTATAAATATAATATTTTTTAGCTGTATGTTTTAATACTTATAATACAGTTCTTTGATTTTGAAATGAGTTTTTAAAAGCTTATTAAAAATTATTTATTTAAAAATAAATCTGCTATAGGCAAAGGTATTTTTTTCACTAATGTTTCAATAAATATTTAAATAAAATTTTAATATTTAGTTAATATATAATGTAAAATTTTCAATTAGTAAAAAGTCAAATAAATTATATTTTTATTAACTGAAATAAGATTAAAATATATATATATATATATATATATATATATATATATATATATATATATATATATATATATATATATATATATAAAAAAATATATATATATATTTATATATATATAAATTTATATATAATAAAAAATATATATATAAAAATTTTATATATATATATAT